CCCACGAATACGTTATCCCTTACCTCTTGACCACCCTTTTGCATAGATTGGTCCGTATCGAGCTCACTCATATCGAGCTTTGTCATGCGGTCGGATCCGGTCATGAAACGAACCCTAATACTTCTAGTTATCCCGTTAGGGCTGACGACTCGACAGCGGAGTGATTGGTCGTGCGAGATAGCGCTCGCCATAATGATCGATTATTTGTAGCTTTTGAGCGCAGGCGGTATCGACCTTTTCGCGTCCCTGCTTCTACCCACTTCTCCCCTAGCAATGAAGGTAAAGGCTTATCAAATCCGAAGCAAGTCCGAGAAGGAGCTTCTCACTGATCTCGACGAGCTCAAGCAGAAGCTCGTTTCTTTGAGGGTCTCCAAGGCTCTTTCCAGCACTGCCGGCAAGGTTGCTGAGATCAGGGTACTAATTCTTGGATTTAAAAGAAATATCGTGGTTACGTCCATTTCTCGATCTTTATAGAAGCTATCTAGATAGTGTATCATTTGATCCTTCTCAGACTGTTCGCAAGAACATCGCCCGTACCTTGACTGTCTACAACCAGGCCAGGAAGGATGCCGTAAGTGCGGGGTCATGCGGTTGCGACTGACGTTTCGTATCGTGAAGTTCGCTCGGTCCAATCTTGGTGTGTTCAGGCTCGCGCTTCCTTCGCTGGTAAGAAGTACGTGCCCTTGGATCTCCGCTCCAAGCTCACCCGTGCTAAGCGTCGTGCTCTTACCCCTGCCCAGTACAACAAGAAGACCGCTAAGGAGCAAACCCGCAAGGCCAACTTCCCCATGAGGAAGTACGCCGTCGCTGCCTAAATTGCTTTTCTTCGGAGGAGAGGTTGAACGGCACCAACGGTGGGAACTGCTGGTTTGTGTCGTTGCATTGTGCGATATCACTTCCCTGTTGTTTCTATTGATATGTGGGACCGGAGGGTAGAGAAATGTTAGTTTGTTGTGTTGTAGTGCAGTCATGATTGTAAGGGATTATTCCGTTAGTCTACACAACGGTCATCAGCCTCAGAGAATGATTCATGATGCGGTGGTAGTAGTCGTATTCTTCATGTGTCTGAGCACGCGCGATGTTCCTTATGTTCGATGGGGTTGGTAGACTTGAAATATTCTTCCAAAATTATGCGATACGTCCTCGCGTCGTTATATTCTACTCTCCATTTAGTACAACCCGCGTCAATGATGATAAATCATTCCTGATGAAATTCGTTCATCATGCTCCTCAACACTATGTTCCAAATTCTGTGGGAGGTTGCTTCAGTCCTGGTATAAATATGCGCGCGCATGATAGAAATGAGTTTATTCACAAACCGCTGAGCTGCTACTCGCGATCATGACATCCCACATGCCACACGCTTGGTAAGTTGCAAAGTCCCATGGGCTTGACAGTTGAAATGATCAATCAACTAAGGTCACTTTCCGCCACAATATTATACAAATATCTACGCAAAGAGGTACTCGTATTTGTGCTGAAGAATTCGAGTTCCGCCTGAGAACGGCCCGAATCCGAAAGATGGTAACACTTGAGCACAATACCACAAATAGAGAAACGATGCAAAGGAACACGAAGATTATTTACAACATTCCGCGAAAGTACAGTATTTAATAAGCTTCAGTAGAGTAGCGTTTCTTAGCCTTAATATCCTCGTCAAACCATTCCTCGACCGAATCCTTCGACTTCTTACCGACCTCCTCTACAGCACCTTTCACGGCAGACTCGACATCAGCGACTGCAATGGCAGGGCCACAGAAGTAGAAGTACCCCTCTTGCTCGCACATGTACTTGTAGATAAGCTCGGGATTCTCAGCAATCTTGTGCTGCACGAATATCATATGATCTTGATCATGCGAGAACGCATTGACCATCTTTGTTAGCACACCAGCTTCCTCAAACTTCTTCCATTCCTCGCGATAGAGGAATTCTTCCTTCTCGTGACGGCAGCCATAGAATACCACCATCGGGCCAGTTTCGATCCCAAGGACCTGCTTCTTGTACATGCGATCCTGAACAAAGGCTCGCATAGGAGCGATACCAGTACCAAGCCCTGCCATGACCATCGGTGTATGTTCATCCTCAGGGAAAGTAAATGTACCACTAGCAACGGAAACGCACATGGTCTTGTCGTTGCTGAACCCTAGGTAGCGTGTACATGTGCCAGTCTTGAGATCACCCTCGGAATTCTGCCACCGGTTGATAACATAGTCAGCTCGACCTTGTTCGGAGTGTAGAA